ATATTTAAACCAGACTTCACTTGTATATAAATCCTAAACCTGCTCCACTTCCTGTGGTTCCTATGTTTCAAAAAATGGCACTGCCATGCATTCAGTTGTACAAGCCGGATATTTAAAAGTTGTCCTTGAAATTGTCCTCTCTCTTACTTCCCAAATACAATCCATCACCACTGTTCTTTGGGTTGTAATTCTAAAATTCCTATCGGTTCCCTTCACTTTTCATCATCTCCACTCTTTACACTCTGGTCTAAGCTATCATTGCCTGGACTGTTGCAATGGCCTTTTAAATGCTGAACCTACAGCTCTCCCCAATTCTCCTCATTGAAAGCAGCATAGTCTTTCCCATTGGGAGGCTTTCTTTTGCCTTTAAAATACAGCCCTGAATCTAACATGACCCACAAGTCCTTGGAGGGAGGTGGCACCTGCTTAGCAACCCAGCCTCATCTTGTAGCACTCTCCCCTTTGTTCTCTGAACTGCAAGACCAATGTAATTCTCAAAGTTCCTCTAATAAGCCAAGCTCTGTTCTGCCGCAGGTCTTTGGAAAAGCTGTTTCCTCTGCCTCGAAAGCTTCTCCCTCTTCTCCATAACTGCCTTATTAACTCATCCATTTCAGCTGGGCTCATTTCCTCAGCGAAACTTATTCTGATTTTTCTTAAATGGTTGGATCCCTGACTAGGATCAGGGAACTCTCCTATTGGACTTTCATATTTGTATAAAAGCTTCTATTATTAATGTCTGGCTCCCCTAGACTGTGTGTGAGCTCTGTAAGGCCAGGAACTTGTTCAATTTTTGCACTCTCCTGTATTGCTGGTGCCTAGCACAATACCCGGTACATAGTTCGTGTTTAATAAATATTCATTGAGTGAATGAATAATACAATTGTGTTCTTGGTGCATAAGGAAGCAGAGAGAAAAAGAGAAGCAAAAAGAAGACATGGAAGGGATATAGGTAAGAAGAGGAGGCAAGAATGAAGAGTGATGTAATTGTAATCCTAGATTCAGTAGGGTCAATCTTAAGTTGTCATTCAGTTGTAGAACAGCATTAAAAATGGCATGGATAGACTTTGTGGCATGACTTACTAGTGAGGGTCAGTTATAACAAAGTGTTCAAGAGGAAGCAGAGAATATAAGTTTGGAACACTTGCAGCCTGATGATGTGAGAGAGAAGAAAAACCCATTTTCTCGGAAGAAATTCAAGCCTGCTGCAGAAACTTGCATAAGTAACAAGGAGCCAAATGTTAATGACCAAGACAATGGGGAAAATGTCTCCAGGGCATGTAAGAGGTCTTTGAGGCTGGTCCCTCCCATCACAAGCCTGGAGGCCTAGGAGGAAAAATGGGTTTTGAGGGCTGGGCCCAGGACTGTTTTGTGCAGTCTCAGGCTGCTCACACATGGTATTGGGTCTATGGGTGCACAGATGTCAATAACTGAGGTTTCAGAACCCTGCCTAGATTTCAGAGAATGTATGGAAACACCCAGATGTCCAGGCAGAGGTGTGATGCAGGGTCAGGGCCCTCATGCAGAACCTCTGCTAGGGCAATGCAGAAGGGAAATGTAGGGTGGAATCCCCCATACAGAGTCCCCACTGGGGCAGTGCTCACTGGAGCTGTGAGAAGACCCCAGAATAATAGATCCACCAATAGCTTACACTGTATGCCTGAAAAAGCTAGAGACACTTACTGCCAGTCTGTGAAAGCAGCTGGGAAGGAAGGCTGTATCCTGCAGAGCCACCATAGGGGTGGAGCTGCCCAAGACCATAGCAACCTACCTCTTGCATCAATGTGACCTGGACGTGATACATGGAGTCAAAGATCATTTTGGAGCTTTAAGATTTGACTTCCCTGCTGGATTTTGGACTTGCTTGGGCCCTATAGTCCCTTCATTCTGGCCTATTTCTCTCATATGGAATGGGTGTTATTTACCCAATGTCTGTAACCCCATTGTATTTAGGAAGTAATTAGCTTACTTTTGATTTTACAGGCTCATAGGCAGAATGGACTTGCCTTGTCTCAGAAGAGACTTTGGACTGTGGACTTCTGAGTTAATGCTGAAATGAGTTAAGACTTTGGGAGACTGTTGAGAAAGCATGATTGATATTGAAATGTGAGGACATGAGATATGGGAGGGGTAGGGAGGGGGAAATGATATGGTTTCACTGTGTTCCCACCCAAATCTCATCTTGAATTGTAGCTCTCATAACCCCCAACTGTCAAGGGAAAGACCCAGTGGGAGCTAATTTAATCATGGGTCAGATTACCCTCATGCTGTTGGCCTGGAGCTCTGGCTCCAAACACTTTTATTATGTGCATAATCTTGTTGATCTTGTGGGCATGAAACGGGAGGGTGAAGGGGTAGGTAAGAGTGGGTGGATGGGGGAGCACTTGAGATCCTTCTAAGACATACTAAACTAGTGCTCTGAGTTTATCACCAATTATTGTCATAATAGTAAGTTCTCACTAGCTCCTGTGGTTTTATTTATTTATTTTATTTTATTTCTTTTTGAGATGAAGTGTGGCTCTTTTACCCAGGCTGGAGTGCAGTGGCATGATCTGGGCTCACTGGAACCTCTGCCTCCTGACTTCAAGTGATTCTCCTGCCTCAGCCTCCCAAGTAGCTGGGATTACAGGCATACACTACCACACCCAGCTTATTTTTGTATTTTTAGTAGAGATGGGTTTTGCCATGTTGGCCAGGCTCGTCTTGAATGCCTGACCTCAGATAATCTGCTTGCCTTGGCCTCCCAAAGTGCTGGGATTACAGGTGTTAGCCACCGTGTTTGGCCTCCCAATGGTTTTATAAAGGGTAGTTTCTCTGCACATGCTGTCTTGTCTGCTGCTATGTAAGATGTGCCTTTGTTCCTCCTTTGCCTTCTGCCATGACTGTGAGGCCTCCCCAGTCAAGTGGAACTGTGAGTCTGTTAAGCCTTTTTCTTTATAAATTACTCAGTCTCAGGTATTTCTTCATAGCAGTATGAAGATGGATTAATACAAGTGAAGTCTCATCAAAGTGTGGGTATCAAGTTACATCTGGTCATGAATTTGAGGCATAATCATTAATCCTGTCAGACGCGCAGTGGCTCAAGCCTGTAATCCCAGCACTTTGGGAGGCCGAGTCGGGTGGATCACGAGGTCAAGAGATCGAGACCATCCTGGTCAACATGGTGAAACCCCGTCTCTACTAAAAATACAAAAAAAATTAGCTGGGCATGGTGGCACGTGCCTGTAATTGCAGCTACTCTGGAGGCTGAGGTAGGAGAATTGCCTGAACCCAGGAGGTGGAGGTTGTGGTGAGCCAAGACTGCACCATTGCACTCCAGCCTGGGTAACAAGAGCGAAACTCCGTCTCAAAAAAAAAAAAAAAAAATCCTGTCAGACATTATCTTATGTATGGGAAGAGGCAAAGGCTAGGATCACTAAACTTACCTTTTGTAAAAATTCAGTGGTTCAGGCAAGAGATATGATAATCTGTTCCCTATCCTGCTTATGGTCTTCAGGCCATTCTTCCACCAGGCTGCTCATAGTCAGTAAGTCAGGGGCTTTGTGAAATATTGCTGGCAAGGGAACAAAATGAGCAAACATGGCTTCTTAACTTTGCTACTTTTTTTTCATAATCATCAGCATCCAATAGATATCTGCTGAATTAATGAATAAATGAAAGATATTCTGGCAGTGCGTTCACTTTTAGGATTCACATAATAGCAAAATCTAAATTTGACTACATAGCATTAAACCTCTCAGAAAGTACCACAGCAAAAGAAGTCAATGAAAGGGGAAAGAGAGACAAGAGAATGGGAAAAGCAATAGCATAAAATATGGCAAAAGCTAATGTTACTTCTTTGTAAATATATTATTCAAATTCACATGCAAAACATAAATATATAAACAAAGAATTTACATCAGTTCTTTAGTTAGAACTGATAGTTTAGAAACACAAGATAGTTTAGAAACACAAGAAAAACATCAGCTCTTGACAGTAACTAAAGAACTACAAGTATAGTAACCTGGAGTAACATTTGATACCAAAGAATTTAAAGGAAAAACATGGTATGATTTGGCGTTAGGTTGTGTATCCTGATAGCACTATCAGTGTTCATTTTAGAAAGTAACTTCATTGATAGTTATTAAAATATTTTTGAATATTTAGACTCCAAGTTCCTATTTCAGGAAAATTATCCAAACAAAATAATGCAACAGGTGTAAAAAGCGAAACATACAAAAGATACTCTTTATAATATTATTTTCATAGTAAAACTTAAAACCTTTGCATTGTACAGTAGAGGCACAATTACTTTGGCTGAGGAATCAATAATGGATGGAATTTTATCTCGCCATTAAATGTTAAAATCGTGAGGATTATGAAGCAGCATGGAAACGTTTATGTCATACTATATGAAATGCAGAGCTTAAAGATGAAATGCAGAACTTAAAACTGAATGCACATAATAAAAATGGTGGATCATATATATACACGTGCTGTGTCTCTTCCAGATAAGCTTTAGTTCCATAATTACAGAAGATACTTAAGAAACAAAAACTTAACTAGCTTCCCCATGTTCATTCTTTCACTATGTAATAGACCCCAAGCCTCTGAATTGCACCCATATTTTCCATTTATAGTTTATCCAATTAATCTTTTTGTGCTAAAACGCTTGTTTTCCCCACCACATCCAACTTCCTATTTTCAAAGAATAAGCATCACTCTAAAAAAAAAAAAAAAGAAAAAAAAGGGAAAAGAGAAACAACTTTTTAAAGTTTGAGGAGTCACGGGTTTTCCCTCCGCTCACCCTTCAAAATTTTTTCTTAAATGTTATACCTATTTTACACCTTCCAAACTGAAAATGCGGTTAAAGATAAAAGGTCGATATCCTGGGTCTGCCTTGTCCCAGCTAGCCGGGACCTTCTAGGTCGACGGCAGCGCGGACTTCTGACGCCTTCGAGGGCCGCCCGAAGGAGGCGCGGATGGGGTCGCAAAAACTCGCCGGGCTGCTTTACGGCACTCCCTCCGCCCCTTCAGGTGCGGGAAGTCTGAAGCCGGCAAACATGGCGGTCTCCTACTGCCTCAGCCGGGCTGCGACTGCCTTTACAGCGGTGTTGCTCTTTTCCTTCGGCAGCGTGGCCGCTAGTCATATCGAGGTAGGAGTCAGGATCATTTGACTACAGAGCCCCGAGACGCCGGCTGTGTAGTGGCTGTGAGCTCTTCAGCAGATGTCCGATACACAGCAGTTGAGGGAAGCCTCCTGGAGTCAATCAGCCCCTGACCCAGGCTGGGCTTTCAGGAGGCTGTGTCACTGGGCACAGATTAGGACAGTGCCGGTCTGTTTCAGCGTTTTAAAACGATGAATTAAAGGGATCAAACGCTCGGAGGCAGAGAAGGACCTGATCCTTTGCTTCTGCATGTGTGCAGTTCTTAGCAGGTGAAGGATGGGCAAGAGGCTGGTGAAATGTCCGTTTTAAGAGTGCGGCATCTACTCTCCAGTACTCAGCTGCAGGCGTGTTTTGATAGGAATCAGACGGAACTGGGGAGGTGAGAGCAAGCTTAAGAATTCAGATTATAGAATTTAGTGATAATTAGGAGATGGGATACAGAGATATGTTTATTAAATAGACTCAAATTTCTGGCTTAGGAGCAACATGTCTGGGTTAAGAAATGGAGGAGAAAAGGGGTGCTTAGTTTTATCCTGGGCTCCCCCAACCTCCCATTTTTAAACGTGGACACAGGACGTTCTGGTGCTCTATAATACTTTTCACTATCCACCGTACTCTGATGATTCCTCAGTCTAGTTCTACAATCTAGATGTCTAGTATATTTTTCAGATCTGCATTTCCAGCTAAGAAGCCGGGATAGTCAGGAGACATTTGAAAATCTGTGTCCAAAGTGCTTATCCTACCTCCTCTTAAAAAGACATTGAAAAACAAAGCACCCCTTTTCTTCTCCATTTCTCAACCCAGACATACTGCCCCTAAGCTGGAAACCTGAGAGTCTTAACCTCTTTATCTCCTATTCTAATTATCACTACATTCTATGACCTGAATTCTTAAAATTGCCTTCACCTCTGCAGTTCCAGTGACTTAATTTAGGCTGTGATCACTTCTTGTCTAGACTCTTGCAATTACTTTATTTTGTTTTCCATAGGCCTCCCTCGCTTTGATGCTAGAGTGGTCTCCCTGAAATGCAAGCCTGATCAGGTTATTGTTCTGATGAAATCTTTTAAATATTTTTTCATTGCACACAGAATAAAGTCTAAACATTATGGTCTGGTTCCTTTCCAGTGTTCCATATTGGAATCTTTTCTCCCCACCACCTGGGCACCTTCATCTTAGACCAGTGGACTCAAACTTTTTGAATACACACCCTATCAGTTAAAAAAAGATACTGAGCATGAACTTCATATGTATTTATGAATTTCTGTCAACTTATATATTTGGTATCTATATAGCATTTTTTTTTAGAAAACATAAATAAGAGTAAATAGAAGTTCTGTTTCCCTCCTTTATTCTAATTTTCAATACTTCATCTTGGATACCATTACTGTTTTTTGTAGTTACATAATTGTTGTACTTTTTCACATCATGATATTTTATATATCCTGTTTCCGCCGTTCATTTGCTAGGATACAGTAAAGGCATAACCTCAGTAGAACCTTTCCCTGTGTCTTACCTTTGCCTTTACTCTTGTAATTTGTACACTTGATACAGCATTCATTTACTATAACTCATGTATACTTTGTATTATTATTCCATCATCTCTCACTTAGAGTTGGGAGCAACAGTTCCCTAAATGGTTTGCCTTGAGTCATTCTTTTTTCCTTTCAATCCATTCTCCAAATTGAAGCCAGAGTAACTTTTAAAAATGCAATTCTGATCATGTCACCCAGGTACCTTAATGTTGCTCTAAACTCTTTACCATGACCCACAAACAAACCCCTGCATATTTTTTGGCCCCTGCACTTCCAATTTTTTCTTTCTTTTGCTTTCAAACTTCTAGTCATGCTTTCTTTCAGCTTCTCAAAACCTTTAAGCTTCTTCTCACTTTAGAGCTGTCTCCCCTCTGTCTGGAACTGTATTTTCTCTTTTCTTCATCTTTTGGATTGTAACCCAACAGTCACTTCTTTAGGAAAAATTTCCTGACCAGGTCAGATTCCTCTGTTATTCTCTTATTATATTGTGTGTCTTTCCTTTATAGAATCTATAGTTTGCCCTTATCTGCTAAATGTATATCCAATTAGATAGTAACCTATTTGAAGGCAGTAATGTAACTGTTTTTGCCCACCATTGTATTTGGAGCCCTCAGGGCAGTGACTGACACATGTTACCCAATGAGTGTGATAAATTAATGAATGTTGCATTGTAGTGTAATGTGTTTGCATGTTCCTCTTTATTGAACTCTGGTTTCTTTTTTTTTGAGATGGAGTCTGGCTCTGTCGCCCAGGCTAGAGTGCAGTGGCGTGATCTTGGCTCACAGCAAACTCCACCTCCCGGGTTCAAGCGATCCTCCTGCCTCAGCCTCCCGAGTAGCTGGGATTACAGGCGCCTGCCACCATGCCCAGCTAATTTTTGTATTTTTAGTAGAGACGAGGTTTCATCATGTAGGCCAGGCTGGTCTTGAACTTCTGACCTCGTGATCCACCTGCCTCGGCCTCCCAAAGTGCTGGGATTACAAGTGTGAGCCACTGTGCCCGGCCAAACTCTGGATTCTTAAGAGAAAGCAGCGTGCTTTTTAGTGATTTTGTGTTCACTATATAATGCTGTCTGGCACATAATAAATGCTCCATTTACTGTATGTAGAATGAATAACTTTATAAAGACTGTAAAGACAACTACAAAAAAACTTGCCATCTAAATTTTTTTACTAAGGTCTGAAAGAAGTAAGAATTTTGGAGGTGGAAGGCACATTAGAGTTTATTTGGGTCAATTCTCATTTTCTACATGAGGATAGTCAAATCTAAAGAGCTAAATGACTGACCCCAGTTTCATAGCCAGTTGTGAGATAGGCCCTGTGTTTTAGCTTAGGTCTTTGAATTCCCTAACCAGTGCTTAACCACTGTAGCACATTGCTTTCTTTAACATTTAGGCAGCTGTTGAATTTGGAGGAGGAAAAATACACACACACACACACACACACACACACACACACGCCACACACACACCTTTTTTTTCAGGTTATTATTTTATATTTTTGATGTTAACAATTTATCAGATATAATGCTTAGCAATAGGAAACCCATTCAGTTTCATCTAATGTGAAATACTCTGTTATTGCTTTGCTGAATTAAGTGTATTTTGCCTAACCATAGTAATTTCAGAGATCACAGTCTCTTTCCACCTCTATTGGTAGTTAACATAAGATTTAACTTGCATTACTACAGCAAATCATATTCTAGTGAAAATTGATATCCTTGAGGGTTACGTGTCTATACACTCTAAAATCTGTTAATGATACTTCACAAATCTCCAGAAATAAATACTTTACATTCTGATATGCCTCTCTTTTTGTAATATTAATATATATATTTTAATTGACATAATAATTGTACATATTTATGGGGTATAGTGTGATATTTTGAGACATTCAATATGAAATGATCAAATCAGAGTAATTAGCATATCTATCACCTCAAACCTGTAACATCACTTTGTGTTGATAATATTCAAAATGTTAGAAAGGAGTTCTAGCTATTTGAGAAAATATAATAAATTATTGTTTACTATAGTTACTCTAAAGTGCTATAGAAGGCTAGAACTTATTCCTGCTATCTCTAATTTTTATATCTGTTAACGAATGTCTCTCTGTAATACCCCCCTCACCTTCCTTTTTTTCCCAGCCTCTACTAACCACTATTCTGTGCTATTTCCATGAGATCAAGTTTTAAAATATTTCCATATCTGAGTGATATGAAAATTTAAAAATTTAAGTTTCTGTGCCTGACTTATTTCACTTAATGTAATGTCCTCCGAGATCATCTATGTAGGTGTTTATGATAGGATTTTATTCTTTTTACGGATGGATACCATTCCATTTTATATACATGCGTGTGTGTGTACACACACACATTTGCTTTATCTATTCATCTATTGATAGACACTCAGGTTGATGCTATATCTTAGCTATTGTGAATAGTGCTGCAATAAATGTGGGATGTAGCTACCTCTTTGGCTTCCTGGTTTCCTTTGCTTTGAATATATGCCCAGTAGTGGAATTGCTGGATCATATGCTAATTCTGTTTTTAGTGTTTTGAGGAGCCTCCATACTGTTCACCATAGTGGCTGTACTAATTTACATTCCCACCAGCAATGTATAAGAATTCCCTTTTGTCTACATCTTAACTAGCGTTTGTTATTTTTTGTCTTTTTGATAACAGCCACTAAGATGGTATCTTATTATGGTTTTGATTTGCATTTCTTTGGTAATGAGTGATATTGAGCATTTTTTTCATATACCGTGGGCCATTTGTATGTCTTCTGAGAGATATCTGTTCAGATCCTTTGCTCATTTTTAAATGGATTATTTGGGATTTTTTTGCTGTTAACGTAAGTTTGAGTTCCTTGTATATTTTAGATGTTAATCCCTTATTGGATGAATAGTTTGCAGATATTTCAGGATTGCTTTTCTATTTCTGTGAAGAGCGTCATTGGTATTTTGATAGAGATTGCATTGAACTGTAGACCACTTTTATGTTATATGGTCATTTTAACAATACAGTATTTATTCTTCCAATTCATGAGCATGGAAGCATTTTCATCTTTTTATGTTCTCTTCATTTTCTCTCATCAATATTTTGTAGTTTTCTTTGTAGAGATTTGTCACTTCTTGGTTAAATTTATTGCTAGGTATTTAATTTTTCTGTAGTTACTATAAATGGGATTACATTCCTAATTTTTCTTCAACTAGATCATTATTAGTATATAGAAACACTACTGATTTTTGTCTGTCGATTTTGTATCCTGCAGCTTTACTGAATTAGTCTATCAGTTCTAAGAGTGTTTTTGTGGAGTCTTTCAGTTTTTCTATATATAAGATCATGTTGTTTGCAAACAAGGACAGTTTGCCTTCCTCCTTTTCAATTGGGATGCCTTTTATTTCTTTCTCTTACTTAATTGCTGGGGCTAGAACTTCCAGCGGTATGTTGAATAAG